ACAGGCTTTAAATCAAATAACCCTAATGGCTGCCCTACATTTGGACTTTCAGTCTCAGAGTCACTAAGTACCTCAACCAGTAAGCATATTTGAAGGTGTTTGGGTGTGTTTGTTTGTTTTGTTTTGTTATTTAAGGCCAAAGCACTGTAATCAATTCAAATCTCTAGGGACTGTGGCTGGAGTAGGGCCAGAGATGAGACATCTAATTTCTTCTTCATCCCTTTCTGCTGTTTGGTTTTAATCATTTTTTTTAAAGATTTATTTATTATTTATTTTGAGAGAGTGAGAATGAGAGAGAGAGAGAGAGTACATGAGAGCGGGGAGGGTCAGAGGGAGAAGCAGACTCCCTGCTGAGCAGGGAGCCCGATGCGGGACTCGATCCCGGGACTCCAGGATCATGACCTGAGCTGAAGGCAGTTGCCTAACCAACTGAGCCACCCAGGCGCCCTGGTTTTAATCATTTTTTAAACGATGACCACAAATTACTTTTACAACAAGGATAAAGGGGGGTTGATCTTAGAAAAAAATAGTCATACACTTAAAAACAGAAATGGATTTGCAGCTTTTTCCTGTTCCCATTAATTCGCTACTGTGTCTTCAGGGAGAGCATCCAAGCTCTGAAACAGAAGAGCTGCACCCTGCCTCCCACATTCTGAGGCATGGAAGAACCTTCTCAGTCCGTACCGCGAGTGAGACCAGGACTAGAGGGGTTCCTGGAGGAGCACAGGCAGGGGGTCTGAGCGGGTGCAGCTGGAGCCCTGACACAGAGACCTTAGACCTCTGCTTCTTTCTGCCTTTCTGCACCATTCCTCTTTCTTCTGGCAAGAGCATCCTCAGTTTTTTTTGGAGGGGACCCCCCAATTCTTTCCACATGTGCTTTGAGTGAACTTGAAGACAATCCAGATCCAGAGTGGGCGTGTGACTTCTTCCTGGCTAGGGTAGGACATTGCCCTGAACATGGCATTTGGTTCAGGGATGAGAGTCAGACCCAGGATGTCTATTCATCTGTTGAGGGAAGCTCTCTCCCCCACTGGGCTTGAACCTGGTAGGAGCTGGCCTCCATTCCACTTCAGTGTGGCCCCTGATGATAAAATCAACGTGGAGGTGAGCAGAACTGAGAGTGGCATTAACCCCCAGATCAAGCCACACCTAAAGCTGGTGTATATTTCCTGGCCTTTTAAAGCTATTTGGGCCAGTGAACTCCTTTCTTATCTTAAGCTGTTTGAGTTGGGTTTTCAAACAATTGCAGGTTAACACAATGGACAAAGGACCTAGCTGAAGAAAAGCATGGCGTGGAGGCCTGGAGGCCTGGAGGCCAGAGAAGAAGAGACCGATGGCCAGGGTAGATTCATGTCTTTGGCACTGGGTGGGGATAAGGGATCTTGGTCATCAGTTCCGGTCCCTAGCCAACAAGTCTCCACCCCGAGAGAAGGCATAGACTGTCAAAGCTGAGTGGCCAGGGTCCATATTTCAGGCTCACCAAGCAAACTCTAGTATAACTTTGTGCTTCCTTATGGGCTGAAGAGGTGTGGATCTTCCAATGCAAACATTCTGGTCACACAGTGGTTGGCCTTGTCTTGCTTATAAACCTTGGAACCGACTTCATTTGACAGTCTCCTGTGAATTTTACTGTAGTCAGTCTGACCAACCCTGCCCATCTCTTGACAACTCTAGTTGCTGGACCCATAAACTTATTGTCCACATCCTACATTGACCCTGAGTTTGAATTCCAGTGCTCCAGCCATGTGTGAGAAATAGACACCAGAACAACATCTGTGATCATGGCCAGCATTCAGTTGTCTGTCTTTATTATTTATCCACTCACCCATTATCTAGTATATTTAGTGAGCATCAAATTAGAAGTATTTTGATCACAAGTGGCAGAAGCCCAACTCTTAAGCAAAAATCTGTCAGTCATGTACTTGGGATAGGTCACAGGCTAAAAGGAAACACTACCGAAACCCAGTACCAAGGCTTTTTGGCAACAAGACATTCTCTCTTCATCATCTGTCATCTCTCCACGTGGTGGGGAAGATGCACTGGTTGCCACCAATTCATACTGTCCTCCCTTAGCATCCCAGTGGAGCCAGGATTCTCTTCCTATGTCCATTAATCAATCCCAGATGGGTCCTGCTTGGGTCCCATGCCTACCTCTGCACCTGAGTGGCAAGGTTCTCATAATAGAGGAAGAAACTGGGAAAGCCTGCAGGTTGGAAAGCCTCAAAAGCAACCCCAGTTGGTGGCATGGAGGCAACAACATGAGTCAGACTTACATGTGTAGCACACAGCCAGGCAGGGGAGGTAAGAACATCAGCTGCTAGGTGCCCCCATGGAGGGAAAGACGGTGGGGAACCTGAGGAGACAGTGACCAACTCTTCCAGAGAAACCTTACCAGAGGGGTGAGGTGGAATCTGCTCCCATTCTCTGGCTGTCCTCAACTCTTCCTGAGGAACCCCTTCCCCACTCTCAATACATCTGGTTCACGTGGGGCTGACCTCACGCCTCCCTGCAGGGGTAGAGATGGGGCTTAGGCCAGGCCAATGAGAGCCTGTCCTGGGCTTTTTGCTGGAACAATGAGGAAAGAGGTACACCCTCTATCCACGTGGAGAAACTGGTAGACTCTGGTAGAAGCAGATGCTAGAGGCCATCTTCCCTGCCTGGTCACAAAGCATGTGTGAGGACGCTAGTGTGGACGAGCAGAGCAAAGCGTGGGGGAATGAGATCGATTCTTGATGACATCTTGAGATGCCTGAACTTTTCAGTTACAGGACACCTGAATTCATAAATGACCTCCTTCTGCATAAAGCCTATTTGAGGTGGGGTTTTATAACTTGCAGTGGGAGGTCCTGCCTAACACGAGGGGCTCTTTGATGTGGATCTGGAAAGGTGAGGCATTTGGTGGTTTCTCTTCAGAAAGAACAGGATGTGCTCAGGCAGGGCCACCACTGTGGTACCTAGCCTACCGAGATGGCCCCAAATAAGTCCATCCTCCCTGTATGTGCATGCAGCTCCTGCCTTGCTTATGTCTTCTCTTCCTGAATCCGGACTGGGCTTGTGCTTGCTTTGACCAGTGGAATACAGAGAACGTGATATTCCTCAGAAGGTCTGTCAGCTCCCTCGTGGAACCCTGGGTTGCCAGGTAGGACATCCAGGATAACCCACTGCGGGGAGAGGCCATAGAAAAGGAGGATGAGACATTACACAGAGATAGATGTCTCCTTGGGGGGCCCTAAGGTGGCAGACACTCAATCCCTAGCCACCATCTCCAGTATAGGCATGAGACACCCCCCCCCCCCCCCCGTGAGACGAGTAGAACTGTCTAGCTGGGCACCAGAATCATGAGATACAAAAAAGTTGTTGTTTTATGCACTAAGTTTTATGTTACGAACTCCCCTCTTGCGTACACACTATGCCAATTATAAAAAGTAGCTTCCTCTGGGCAGATGAGTTACAAAAAGGCACCTCTCTGTCCAGGCTAGAGCACAGGTTGCCAGGGCACAGTACTCAAGTGGAGGTAGAGACCCAGATGGATGTCAGCCCCTCAGCCAGGTGATACTGAATAGCAGGGGCTGCACAATGCCAGTACTAGGTGGTCTGGGGTTGGAGGATGTGGAGGGATGCCGAGAGGTCAGTCTGCACTTGTTTCATCAATCCCTCACCCCTGCCGGGCTTTGGTGCCCTGCCCTGTCCAGTGTCCTCAGGCACTTGAACACTGGGTTGTCACTTGATTTCTTGGAAGAATACAAGGACCACCCCCAGGCCATGCTGGAGAGAGGCAAGCACAGAACTCCAACAGCTTTGGTTCTTCCATCTTTTCCTTGCTCTTCCAGCTCTCCACTGCCCCAGCAGCAAGCAGCCACCCATTTCCCATATCCTTGTAGCCCAAGTCGGCCTTCAGGGAGGGGGTGTCTCACTTTGTTGCTGCTGTTCATTTCTGGAACGAATTTCACACCCACTTCTTCAGGGTGGATTTTTCAGGAAGGACCGCCGTGGCCCCTCCTGGTTTGCCCTGTAGGTGGGCAGGTGGCTATCCCTTTCCTTGGCATGAGTCTCTCTCTTCCCTAGACCATGAGCTTACTCAGGGCAGGGCGGGGCCTGATTCATCTCCACATTCTAGCTCCAGCACAGGGCCTCAACCACCAGTCAGCTAACACGCACCGAGGCACGCACCATCACCATCGATCTCTGCTCACCTCCAATCACCACCTGAACAGAACAGCTTGATTCCTGAAGGCAGCCGCGGACAATTACTCCGGCTAGGATCCCACCAGCATTACTGTCCCTTAACTTACTAGACTGAATGACCATTAATGGACCGAAACGGGCCACTAATTAACATTTTTTTCCTGCATATTAGAGGCAGGAAGCATCATGCGACTGTTCACGACTGAGAGTCTCATCTTTAGGCAGATGAAGACACTGGCTCAAGTCAAGTCTGAGAGCCGGTCCGCGTTTCCACGTGATTGACAGGGGAACGAAGGCGAAGGAGATCGAGGAAAAGGAGCGAAAACAGGAGACAAAAGTGAACAGCCTGAGACAAAAAAAAAAGGGGGGGATCGGGATAGGTGGGAAAAAGGAGGAGGGAGAAGAAGCTAAGGGACGGAGCAGGCAAGGAGCGGCGGAGAGCGCGAAGGCTGGCCCAGGAGCGCGCCGGGCCGGCCCACAGCCGCCGAGCGCGGGGGGTGCGCGAGGGGGCGGGGCTTGGGGAAAGGCCCACCCCGCCGGACACCGAATGGTCGCGCCCGGCGACGGCGGCCAATGGGCGGCCGGGATGTTGGAGCGGCGGCGGCGGTCGAGGTGCTCGCTGGCTGGGGGACGGCGGCCGCCGCCATGATGCTTGTTTGCTTTCAATGAAAACGAGGGGGGCGCGAAGGAGGAGGCGGCGGCGTCGGTGGCGGCGGCGTCGGCGGCGCGGAGGCGAAGGCGGCAGTGGGCGCAGCGAGGAGGGCGAGGCCGGGGGCCGAGAGGGCGGGAGGGCGTAGCGGCGGCCCGTCGGGGCGGCTGAGGCGGGCGGCTGACGCGGTGGCGCTCGGAGGGGTAACAAAGAGCGGCGGCTGAGGCGGCGGAGGAGCGGCGGCGGCGGCGCTGCAGCAGCGGGCGGGACTGGTATGGTGGTTCCACAGGTCAGACCCCGCTGCACTCACAGGGAGGAGGCGGCGGCAGCGGCGGAGGAAGGCGGCGCACCCCGAGAGGTGAGCGAGACGGGCCCGAGGCCCGGCCGGGCGCTGCTCCCCGCACTGGCCACGCACGGGCCCTCCGCTCCGTCGTGCCCCCCGGGACCGAGGCACGCGCTGGGCCATGGCGCGGGCAATTTGAGTTTTGTGGGTGGCGGAGCTGGCGGTTGTTGGGGGGCTTCTGGACGCGCCGCTGTGGCGATCCGGCCGGGTCCCAGGCCGCGCCCCCCGCGCCCAGCCCGGGGGCGGGGGGGCGTCGATTGAGGCGGGGGCGGGGGTGGGGCGCCCTGGCCCCGGGACCCCGGCTGCGGCCTCCCGGAGGCGGCGAGTGGGTGTCCGGGACTCTTGGCCAGGATGGGTCGCAACTTTGGCGGAGTGTCTGTGTGGGATTGCGTCGTGGAGTGTGGAACTTCGCAGTTACCGCAACGCGGGAAACCAACTGTTGACCCCCCCCACCCTAAAAGTATTTAAAATTCAATTTAACGCAGATTTCGGGGGAGGGGATGGGAGTGACAATGACCTGGTTAAAGAGGCACTTGGCACCAGATGAAGAGATTTCTAGTATTGCTCAGAACTCGGAGGTAGTCCTAATTACTTGAAGCAGTTTTTTCCCGTAACCCCAACCACATCTCTCCCTTCTTATTTCTAAACGCCAATCGTTGTTTTCTTTAGAAACTTTTTTTTCCTTGGACTTTTTCCTCCCTCCCCTTCCCCAGAGAGCCTGCTAACGAACACCTGTAGCCTTTTCTTTAACTGTTACTGCAGATGACATTGTGAATAGTCAGTCCTCTTGCTTGACCTTGGATTTACTGTGTTAAACTGACGTGGTTTCAATAATGTGCTTGAATTTGAGTTCCCATACTTACCTTTTTCTAGGTGGATCGTCCCATTAGTGCTAGTGCGGAATTTCTTGCATTCTTGTGTCTGGACATTTAATCTTGGAGAGGAAGAGAGGGAATGTGAACAAGTGAAAAATAAAACGGCGGTAATAGCACTTGGTGTTTTTCACAGCCCTCTAGGGTTTACCATTCCAAAACAGTTTTGTAGGCGTTTGGGGTGATATGGTCATGGGTCAAAAGGTTTTGAAGACTTTCTTTGTAATTGCTGTCAGAGCAGTTGTCACAGTCTTTTAGAATGAAAATTGCTTAATATTCTTAGACCAGTGATCTCGTCCAGTCAGTGTGCTTGAAACAAAATATTGGAAAAGCTACCAGTGTGGAAACTGAGACCCAGAAAGGTTAAAGTGACTTGCCCAAGGTACTTGAAGAAGGCACATGAGACTATGAGATACTTGCTGGAGATTAGTTCTTTTGGGAGGGCAGGGGTGTTTTAATGGGTAGAAGTTATTTGTGGCGGTTGTGTCTCTTCAGTTTGCAGGTGAACAAGATACTAAATGAAGTAGTCAAAAATAAGGATGGGATAGAAGACATTTTCTTGTGAGACTGAGAAGATTCATTCTGAAAGTTGATTCTTGCATAGTTTTGAAAATGTCTTGATCAGTGGTAATGTTGATGAAGAAGCCCTTTAGAATGCCTGTTTGGTTTGTAGGTGTTTTCAGGTTTCTTAAATCTTGGTGGCACATTAAAACTACAATTATTGGGAAATTTCAGACTATTTTCTCTTGACTAGAAATGAAGTTGGTTATAGAACTTGGTCCTGACTGCAAATAAAAAAAAAAAGGAATTGAAGGCATTTGCCTACTGTACTTGTAGTTTATAAATACGCATTTTGGTCATTGCTTAGGCATCCCACTATACGCATATTAACCTTCTTATATTCTTGGAAGTATAAGCTTTTTTCATATTGTAGTGCAATGGAAAGGGATAATGTATGTAAGGCATACTGGAATAAGTGGTCAGTGCTGCTCGCAGCTGTAGCCCTTGGGCCCTGAGGGGTGAGGGACCAATATCTTCACACTTGTAACTTTCCTAGAGGCAGGGTACACTGGTTGGGAAGCTCTACTTTTAAAATGTTTATCACTTTGGAAGAGTCCAGATAGCTTCAGCTAAGGACATGTATTTTAATGCAGAAAAGACTTGGATTTGTGGGTATGCAGTACTATTTACATTTTTTTTTGTTGTGAATGGGACTTTATGTTATTGTCTAGAAAAAAGTTCCAATTTCAGTTTTCAAATCCTTAGCTTCCACTTTTGACGTACTTTTTTGTTTAACCTTGCCTGCTACTCACTTTACGAAGGTAGCCATTTTGCAACAAAGTGTGGTTAAGAAAACACTGTGAGATTAGGAAATACCAAATAAATTAAACTGTAAACTTACTGTACACAGAGCTTGGTGCATTAGAGTACAATGGAATGCACCATATTTTCATATTTGAATAATTAAAGAGGAGAAAGTTATTTGCGTCCAGAATGGGGACTCATATACACTGCCTTAACCTTACCCTCTTCTGGCCTTTACCTCTCCCTCATCCGTTTGTATTTTCTTCATAACTTCATTTATGTGTCAAGGAATAGTATATGCTGGACACAGCGTTGGACCCTGAGAAATCAAAAATGAATTCTCCGTTTTTGGCTGTGTAGTCGTTAGGTGTTGTAGGCATACAAGTGCTATGAGAGAACAGAAGAAAGGATGAATAAATTTGTGGAAGGTGTGGGACCAGTTTACAGAAAATAACACGGAATAGGTGTTTGTCAAACTGGGGTGACGCGGTCATTTCAAACAGAAGGGAATGGTGGGTGCATGAGGTGCCAGAAGTTGGGGTATGGCCAGTGGTGAGGTGATACTGGGACAGGGAGAGTGACTGGAGATGAGCCTGCAAAGCTGTGTCCTAGATTTTGAAGAGCCACGCCTTACTCATCTAAAACTGAAGTTTGAATCTTTATTCTAAAAGGAGGGAGCCAAAATATTTTTATTAGGGGAACAAGGTGATTTATAGACTACTTTGGCATCAGTGTGGAAGATTGAGTGGAGGCCCTATATATAAAAAAGTCACTTCTGAGATAGTATGGAGTTAGTGACTCTCAATCTTTTTAACTTGGATATGGTGTCTGTTGTGTTCTGTAGTTCCTTTTATAATGGACTTGAGGGTTTGGCCAGTTGTTCTATGAAACAGGGTAATTTAAAATCAAAGTGTCAGGATGTTTTAGAAGAAGTTAAAAGCAGTCAAAAAACAGTAAAACCCATAACATGGTACACTTGAAAATTCAGGCACTGAGAACTTGTTTTTTGAGTTAGGCTTAGGCGGACTGTAGAGCTGGAGAAAACCACCCTCTGCTTACCAGAAATGAGAGGCACCAAGTTTAAAGGTTGTGAGTATCCTAATAGTCCATTGGGACATGGGCTGTATGTATATGAAACTTGTGGGAGGGCAGAGTTTTCTCTCCAGTGACTTACTGCGGTTGGAATATTGAAATTTTCTTAAAATCTAAGAGCTCATCATACAGCTGATAGTTTATGTAGTCCATTCTGCTGTAAAGCAGCATATAGGTTCCTGAAAGTTACCATGGTATGCTAAATTGTGCACTAAAAACTACAGGCTTGCAGGGAAAAATGAGATCAAAACACAACTGAGTGACTTATTGTTAAAAACGAATCTGATGAAAATGGTAACAGTTTTACACATGTGAAGTGGCTAAGGAATATATAAATACTATAATAAATGTGGCACTTTACCTTGAGAAAGACCTGGTTTGCTTGTGGAAATGAGCATGGAAAGGTTTGCTGCTTGTGAGTTCCTGTGAAATGGTAGAAGGCGGGTTACCTGAAATCAAATGGAATGTTACAGTAACATCAGATGTGGGTGGGTGGGTGTGGCTCATATCACACAGGGAGAACTGAGGGGTGGGTAGTGTTTGAGGTGTGTGTGTTTTGTGTGTTTCTGCACAGCTTAGTTCAGCTGGGTGCAGTTTTCTGCCTTCATCTAGTGTGGTAGATGCAAATGAAAAATGGTATGCAAATGAGAATTTTGCATTGTGCTCACATTCCCTGATAGATCAATCATGTTGGAACAAATTCACATTTCAGAACAAGCAATATAGCAGAACTAATTATACTTGAATACAGCATTTTAAAATAGTGCTAAAACTCAGTTCCAAAAATACTCAGACAGCCATATGTCAGGCGCCATGTATAAACTTGCTATCCTTGTGGGGCTTATGGTCTTTTGTCCCAAGTGGATTTATAGTGGGGTATAAAGACGAATGAACCAGTAAAGCACTCATCAGGTTATACAGTAATGAGGAATATACAAAGCATTTGGGGCTTGCTAAGGAAAGAACAGCTAATTCTGCTTGGGAAACTTGAGAGAGTCATCTCAGAGGTCTTTGAGCTGAGTTTTGAAGGGTGAATAGGCACTTGTCAGGCCGAGTAGGACTTTTCATGGAGGAGAAGCATGTGCAAAGTCAGGTCACATACAACTTGGGCTGTGAAACATAGGAGGCCAGGATGTGAGGGCCAGGAGGAGTGGCCAGAAACAGTTTGTGAATAGTCTTAGGCTTTTTCTTGAAGGGTTGGGACTTTAATGGGGATCCATTGAGAGGTTTAGTGCATAGGGGTGGGGAAATTGTGACACACTTTTTCAGGAGACACATCGTAAAAATGTGGAGGTTGGATGAAAGGGGTCCAGAAACTGGGGCGAGAGAGTTCATTTAAGTCCTTGTGAGAGGTCAAGGACATAATAGGAGCTGGAAAAGAATAGGATAAATTTTGAAAGATACCAGAATTAGGGACGGATAAGCGATGAGTTACTGGAATTAGGGACAGATAAGCGATGAGTTATAAAAAAATAAAAATTCAGAAGTTTTTTATCTTGGGTAACTTGGTATGATTTAACTTGGAAAGTAGTCAGGAAGAAGAGCAGATTTGGGCAAGGAAAGTGGAATAGCTTGCTTTTGATTCTAGGTTTCACATGGCCTGTTGGATATTTAGGTGGATATGTCTAATAGGTATCTGGACCAGAGAGTGGTTGGGGATATTATAGATTTGGTAAGTATATAGTTAGTATTGGAAGTTAGAAGATCACTTGGGAAGAGTGTATGAACAAATGCTTTTCACCTTTT